CAACCATAAATACATGCTGTGACACTACTCTTTTCTATTGTATTTAAATAATGCCGGATTGATCTCCCCTAAACTTTCTAGTATTTTACATTTTCATAAAACAATTAAAAAAACTTTATAGCAACACGCTTTTAAATGCACTGAAATTAAGTAAATAAAACTAATTTGTTTTATTTTATAAAAGCTTTGGTCTCTCATGAGATCTTCTATATATTTTAGCGACTAAAGTTTTTTGTCCCCACGATTGCATTACTTTATGTATACTCGGTATGCCAGTCGGTTCAAAACAATTTTTTCAAGAAAACCAGATGTTTCGAGCCGCCCCTTTATAGTTCAAACATGCAGTGCAAACGCGGAGCAGGATGTTACGGAAGAAATGTCTTTTGTATAAGAAATTCCCTGGAGCATATAAAATGATGACGAGACGCATCAAAATATTTAGGCCGATGCTAGCCGGAATAAGATACGCATGCGATACGCATGCGATACTACGACTTGCCTTCGCGGTGATGTTTTCGATGGTACTGCGCATGCGTGTGTTTACAACCGCAGAACCCTAACACCAACCCTAATCCTATCTCTAACCCTAATCCTAACCCTAGCCATAACCCTAACCTTAGCCCTAACCCTAGCCCTAATCCTATCCCTAACCCTATCCCTAACGCTATCGGAGCACGAAAATTAAGTTTATTTATCGATATTTTTAAAGTGATGATTAGAGCAAGCAGGATAATACCGAAATAAATATGTTTATCATGTAAAATAAAGATACACAGTCTAGACTTATTATCAGCATAGTTTTTTTAGGGCGGCAGGCATAAAACAAACACAATTAGAATCATAAATATTATTAATTTAAAAGTAAATATCTATTTATAAATTTCATCCCTTTGTATAGTTAGCAATAAATACTTCTATAAGATGAGCTGGATTAATACAGTATCATTAGCATGACATGATCGAGATATAACATACATGTATCCAAGACTAAAAAACAGTCACTGACAAACAAATAAACCGGAAAAAAAATAACAAAAGTTCAAATATGAGTTTGTTAGGATATATCTATTTTAGGAATATATTCCATTTATGTCTCACAAGCACCATTTAGATTTTCTGCCATAGTTAATTGCAGTTTTAAATGTATACCAGAGGCGTAGCGACACTTCCCGGCGCCCGGGGACATACTTTCAATTTGGCGCCCCCCTCGGGAGCAAATTTTCGATTTGCACCCCCACCTCGAACTTTTCATTTGCACCCCCCCCCCCTCAAACTTTCGATTTGCACCCCCCCCCTCGAACTTTTCATTTGCACCCCCCCCCCCCTCAAACTTTCAATTTGGCGCCCCCCCCTAAGGTCGGCGCCCGGGAACATTTGTCCCCCCCCCGCCCCCCCCCTCGCTACGCCTCTGATGTATACTACTGCTTGCTGTATTTACTATTTAGTCTGACAAAATTATTGTGAATACAAGGTGGTCCTGGTAGAGGGCACGATTGCCAATCGGAATATATCGAGTAATCAGGCGCAACCTACCTCATTCATGATACTTACATTGTATGAGAAACTAGAGGTGCCCAGCTAAAGAACTGATCACGCTGTAAACCTAGAGAGTATGTCGACGAAGGCTGTATGACGTGAACACAGTGTAAGTGTAATGACTACTTGTGTTTGTTTCGTATTTTTTCTTGTGCTTGGTAAAAATTAAAGAAAATGATACAGATTTTATTCGTGGAATGTGTTTTTACAAACTTTTATTTAACTCACTTCCTCTGTCGTCAGTCTAGACGGAAACGCAGGAGTGAAAATTCGGACAGTTCTACTTGACCGATACGATTCACAGTTGGCACGTGGGTCAAGACATGAAGACAATGCAATCTGAAACTAAATTTGACTTAATTGGATGCCTAATTAATTTTTTAATGAATTAATTAAAATGTGGACCGAATTAGTAGGCATGTCTAGCCAACCACACCACACGCGTCATCACCTTCAATAGCTGCGCCATCACGTAATGGCTGCGTTCAAAAACCATTGCGCGCAAACTGAACGTGATGTTCAGTAGGCGCGCAATGGTTTTTAGTCATGTAACTCTATTGTAAATAAAACATGTAAAGTACTGAAAAAAAATTCATAAAAAACGTTTTAATAACAAGCTTTTATGTAATGATGCACTAAAAAGTAGAAAATAAATTATAGACTACTATTTAAATAACTATAAAGAAAAGCGTGGGTGTCTTCCTTAACATTAGTAAAGGTATCCAATAGATACTAAAGTGACCCACGCTTTTCTTTATAGTTATTTAAATAGTAGTCTATAATTTATTTTCTACTTTTTAGTGCATCATTACATAAAAGCTTGTTATTAAAACGTTTTTTATGAATTTTTTCACAAGCTTTTATTTAACTCACTTCCTCTGTCTGTCGTCAGTCTGTCTAGACGGAAACGCAAGAGTGAAAATTCGGACAGTTCTACTTGACAGATACGATTCACATTTGACACGTGGGTCAAGACATGAAGACAATGCAATCTGAAACTAAATTTGACTTAATCGGATGCCTAATTAATTTTTTATGAATTAATAAAAATTTGGACCGAATTAGTTGGCATGTCTAGCCAACCACACCACACGCGTCATCACCTTCAATAGCTGCGCCATCACGTAATGGCTGCGTTCAAAAACCATTGCGCGCCTACTGAACGTGATGTTCAGTAGGCGCGCATTTGTTTTTAGTCATGTAACTCTATTGTAAATAAAACATGTAAAGTACTGAAAAAAAATTCATAAAAAACGTTTTAATAACAAGCTTTTATGTAATGATGCACTAAAAAGTAGAAAATAAATTATAGACTACTATTTAAATAACTATAAAGAAAAGCGTGGGTGTCTTCCTTAACATTAGTAAAGGTATCCAATAGATACTAAAGTGACCCACGCTTTTCTTTATAGTAATTTAAATAGTAGTCTATAATTTATTTTCTACTTTTTAGTGCATCATTACATAAAAGCTTGTTATTAAAACGTTTTTTATGAATTTTTTTACAAGCTTTTATTTAACTCAATGTCTCTGTCTGTCGTCTGTCATCACTCTAGATCGAAACGCCAGAGTAAAATTTCTGGCACTTCTAGCTGATAGATTCCGTTCAAAATTGGCAAGTGTGTCAAGACATAAAGACAATGCAAACTATTACGTTTGACTCAGTTGGATGCCTAATTAATTTTTTTTAATAGATTAATTAAAATTTTAACCAAATTAGTATGTAGTCTTATTCAACTATTTCGCACTATTGTACGCTCTTTATAATGTTCATTAGGCGCGCAATGGTTTTTTAGTTATGCAACTCTATTTAAATTTAAAAAAAAACAACTTTAAAATACTGAGGTCGAGTCTCCAGGTCTTTCTTTGTCTGCCCCTTCTCCTTCTGCCTTGTGGATTCCAGATGAGGGCCTGTCTTGTTATGCTGGATACAGGCTTCCTGAGTGTGTGGCCAATCCATTTCCATTTTCTCTGGAGGATCTCTACTTTAACTGGCAGTTGATTTGTCGGTAGCCATAGAACATCGTTTCTAATGGTTTTTGGCCAGCGAATTCGCAGGATCTTTCTGAGGCATGCGTTTATAAATTATTGTATTTTCTTCTTGTTTATAGCAGTTATTCTCCATGTCTCAGCTCCATAGAGTAGAACAGGTTTTACTAGTGTGTTGAAGAACCGGATTTAAATAGTAGTGTATAATGTATGTTCTACTTATTAGTGCATTATTACATAACAGTTTGTTATTAAAACGATATTTTTAAAATTTTTATTTACTATTGTTACATCTGGTCGAAACGAGCCTAAAAATAACCACTAAGCTAATTTAACAATGTATCAATATACCCACCAATGTGTCACTAGTGTATCAATATACCCACTATTGTGTCACTAGTGTATCAATATAGCCAGTAATGTGTCACTAATGTAACAATATTTTCACTAATTTGACTAATTTTTATTTCCTAGTTACAATTAATATGGTTTTAAAATCCTGTCTGTCTTTTTTTTTTGGACTTTACTAAAGATTGGATGTGTTTGCTGTTTTTAATATTTTCGGTAGCTAAATAACAAAAAATAAAAGCAATAAAAGTTTGGTTTTCCTTGGTTTTCACGTGTGATGGCGGCATAAACAATGATATCCTGCTATTCCATAGGCTACCATAAATTTTTTTTACACATTGTAAGCGAAAAAAAGTGAAAACTAGGTCATATGGTTTAAATTTGCATTGTTATTTAAAAACTTTATCTGCAAAGTTTTGTAAACAAAAAAAAAACTATAATGTGGGGCTTTCAGAAATCGATTACGGAGTTCCTGTGCAATCAATATTTGTCTTACGAAAGTGAAACATCGGGTTATAAGTTAAGTTTGATAAAAATAAACAAAAATGTAGCCCATAAACTCAAAAACAAAATTCAAGTTCTCTGGGTTAGCATTGATTCTAGAAATATTAAATTTTCTGAATTTTGTTTAGGCTTACGTTTTAATTGTTTATTACTTTTACGGTCGCTATGAATGCAAAATCTAAAAGAAAAACACGTTTTAATCCATGTCAACAATATGATGGATGGATTATCGTCAACTCGATCGCCTCCATTAATTAATCAAATTTTAACAATTTTAATTCACATTGCATTGTCACCAAGTCTTGACCCACTTGTCAAGGTTGAATGCAACCGTTGTAGTAGAAGTGGTCAAAATGTCGCTGGTCAACTCCGACCCATAGAACTCCGAAGAAATTAATTACATTGTGAACGAAAAAAAGTATCCAAGAATAATAAACAAACTCAAATCGATTTCGTAAAAATGTAAAAAAATAAACACAAACGGAGGTTTTTATCCTAATCTAATATGTTATTAAAAACAACCCTCTAAAATAAATATAGAACTCAAATTCACGTTTTTGATTCCAAAGTGCTATCATTTTAAATCATTAGATAAACGTCATAAAAAATTGTGTAGCGCATCTATTTCAACATCCTGTAACCAATATGGCGGAATTTATAGGTTAATTTTATAATAAATTTATCTTCCTTGTAATTTTGAAAAAAATTAAATTAATTAACATCGAGAAGCAAACGGCCTCAGCCCTATAGAGCGCCATGTATTTGTTTAACGTCAAAAGACTAAAAAAAGTTGCAGAAGACTTTGTAGGCCGTGTAAATAAACAGGTAAAGACACTTCAAATAGTGTGTTATAGTGTCATATACTTACTTCCTCTAGTGTCCTTTAGTTACATCCTATAGTGTCCTATACCCACGTCCTATAGTGTCCTATACCCACGTCATATAGTCTCCTATACTCACGTCCTATAGTCTCATATACTCACGTCCTATAGTGTCATATACTTAAGTCCTCTAGTGTCCTTTAGTCACATCCGATAGTGTCCTATACCCACGTCTTATATTGTCCTATACTCACGTCTTATATTGTCCTATACCCACGTCTTATAGTGTCCTATACTCACGTCTTATAGTGTCCTATACTCACGTCCTATAGTGTCCTATACCCACGTCTTATATTGTCCTATACCCACGTCTTATAGTGTCCTATACTCACGTCTTATAGTGTTCTATACTCACGTCCTATAGTGTCCTATACCCACGTCTTATATTGTCCTATACCCACGTCCTATAATGTCCTATACTCACGTCCTATAGTGTCCTACACCCACGTCCTATAGTGTCCTATACCCACGTCTTATATTGTCCTATACCCACGTCCTATAGTGTCCTATACCCACGTCTTATATTGTCCTATACTCACGTCTTATATTGTCCTATACTCACGTCTTATATTGTCCTATACCCACGTCTTATATTGTCCTATACTCACGTCTTATATTGTCCTATACCCACGTCTTATAGTGTCCTATACTCACGTCTTATAGTGTCCTATACTCACGTCCTATAGTGTCCTATACCCACGTCTTATATTGTCCTATACCCACGTCCTATAGTGTCCTATACCCACGTCCTATAGTGTCCTATACCCACGTCTTATATTGTCCTATACCCACGTCCTATAGTGTCCTATACTCACGTCCTATAGTGTCCTATACCCACGTCTTATATTGTCCTATACTCACGTCTTATATTGTCCTATACTCACGTCTTATACTGTCCTATACTCACGTCATACAGTATCCTACACTAACGCCCTATAGTGACCTTCAGTCACGCCCTATAGTGTCTAATACTCACGTCGCTTAGTGTCCTATAAAGTCCTACATTCACGCCCTATAATTTCCTAAACTCATGTCCTTTTGTGTCCTATAGTGTAGTATTATGACGTGTTACAGTGTCCGATATTGTCCAATATTCACGTCCTACAGTGTCCTCTACCCGCGACCTATATTGTCCTTTTCTCACGTTCTTTAGTGTCCTATAGTGTCACATACTCACGTCTTATTTTGTCCTATACTCATAGTTCAGGCATTTGTAGGTTGGCCAAAGCCATACTTTTCACTTAATAAACACGTACTCAGGTGACCTTACCAAGTTGGACGACATCACTTCGATGATTATGTTTTTATATGGAAAAAAGTATATTTGTCAAATTGTGTCTTTAAAATAGCAGTAAAAATACTTCACTCAAGCATTAAAATAATTTAGACATGTAATGTTTTATGAAAAACAATATAAAAATGATTATGTAGATAACTTAAAAATACGATTTTGCGTAAAAGGCTATATTTCAATATGTTTTCATTGAACCTAAATTTTTAACCAAAGATTCACTTTGGTAGAACAATTACTTGTTGGGTGTGATACTTCAAATATTAGGCCTACTTTGTATTAAAAATATTTTTTTTTCAACTATATGAAACAATATGGTATGGTAATACCATATATATTTTTCCAGGTATTCGCATTTGATAATCAGCCTGACTGGAGCCAGCTGCCGTACGAAATTCTTCTTAAAGTCTTCAGTTACCTGAGCAACAGCGACAAGTACCATGCCGCTCTCACCTGCAAGTCTTGGCTCCGTCCACTTTCAGTGCCGTCCGTTAGACATGTAATGTTTTATGAATAAACAATATAAAGAAGATTATGTAGATAACTTAAAAATATTATTTTGCGTATAAGACTACACTTCGATGAATATGTTTTTACATTTTTACATGGAAAAAAAGTATATGTGTCAAATTGTGTCTTTAAAATAGCAATAAAAATACTCAATTCGAGCATTAAAAAATTTAGGCATGTAATGATTTATGAATAAACAATATAAAAATGATTATGTAGATAACTTAAGAATTCAATTTTGCGTAAAAGACTACACTTCAATTTGTTTTCATTGAACCAACCTAAACTATTACCCGAAGATTTACTTTTGTACGACAATTACTTGATGGATGTGAAAGTTCAAATATCTCGGAAAAAAACCCTTTTATTAATTGTTTTACTTAAATCTGTGCAGATATATATATATATATATATATATATATATATATATATATATATATATATATATATATATATATATATATATATATATTTTAATAAATTCAACTATTTGAAGCAATATGGTATAGTAATATCATATATTGTTTTCCAGGTAAACGAGTTTGATAAGCAGCCTGACTGGAGCCAGCTGCCGTACGACATTCTGCTGCACGTCTTCCGTTACCTGAGCAACAGCGACAAGTACCACGCCGCCCTCACCTGCAAGTCTTGGCTCCGTCCACTCTCAGTGCCGTCCGTGTGGGAGACCGGAGATTTTGTGTTTGACAACAAGAGCGACGAGAAAGCGATCATTTTTGTGAACATGACGGGAAAAACGTTACGTCACATCAACGTACAATGTATAGCGAGCGATAACCATTACATGTGTTCTTTCTTGGCTTTTAAAGGAGATGAGGGCCCCGCATCCTGTACAGCGAAGATGTACCAATTTTTGGCCACCTTATTGAACTCACAAAACCATCGCATTTTGACCTTCAAGCTAACCAATCTGTTCAGTTTGAAAATCAATGGCCTAAGCGCTAAGTCAAGGTCATTTTTAGAGGTCGCTCAACTCTTGACCAAAGTTTTGGAGGACCAGCAGCAGCTTCGTGTCCTTGACCTCAGCAACAGCCAAAAGTCTGTCAAACACCGTTGGGTTGATTCTTTTACCGTAAATGAAGGTCAGTATGGACAGTCTAACATTGGGTGTTAACAAGACGTTAGGTGTTAACAAGAAGTTGGGTGTTAACAAGAAGTTGGGTGTTAACAAGACGTTGGGTGTTAACAAGACGTTGGGTGTTAACAAGACGTTGGGTGCTTGCAAGGTTTGCATTTAGTTAGATTTTATTGTGGTGGTATCAACAGTCGACCTCATTTCAGGCAGGGGATTGTGGGCTGAGTATTATTATACTTTTAATGCATCAGAAATCAAAATAACAAATTGTTATTTTTCTCCAAACATTATTAAACTATAAACAATAATAAACCGGGAGTGATCTCCACTAAACTTTCTCGAATATTCTACTATAACACTACGGGGGATGGCAACTCTTGATATAGACTTCTAGACATGATTTTTAATCCATTTTAAATACTCAAACTTTTTAAAATAGAATATAATCTCGTAGAAAAAAGAATTGTACACCAAGTGAAGGCTAAATAAAGATGTGCATAATAGTGCGCAATATTATTAGCACTTAATAAATTTACATGCGTTTTTTTGAGAAATCTGAAATAGCGTAAATCAGTACTTTCGGTCAACGGAAGTTACTTAAAATTTGACAGAAGGTAGAGAATTTGATCTTTTACTTACATATAAAATTTCATTTATCTATCTGAAATAGTGCTCAAGTTATAGGCTTTTGAAAAATTTAAAGTTGAAAAAGTACCACTTGCTGTTATCGGAAATCTCTCAAAAGTTGAAACTAATATACGATTTTGATAAAATACTTATATATGAAATTTCATCAACCTAGCTGTAACGGTACTCAAGTTATCGTGTTTACATACGGATACACACACAGACAGACAGACAGACACACAGACATACGGACAAGATTGCAAAATTATGTTTTCCGTATCACGATTACAAGACTTTCTCTATACTTCGTATATACGAGAAAGTAAAAAATGGAAACTTTATAATTTTCAAGGTCTGAAACTGTTGAATGCTGCTAGTAAAAACTGCGCCAACACGCTTCAGGAACTTGCGATCGCCAGATTCGTTTGCTTGAAAGATATTTACCCTAATAACTTGAGCTTTCTTCCACAATTTCGAAGCGCCATCGCAGGTTTCAGCGAGTTGTCAGGTGGGTTGAATAGTTGTATGACGTTTTTTAAGTTAAACGAATAGTATGGTTTAGTCTACATTTTTAAAACTAGTAAATAATTATTAATAATACTTTTAATAATAAACAAACATTCGTTTTTTTATGACGTAGTATGGTAGCTAGTGATGGTGGTTATAAATCTACATGGACGTGAGCACTGGTTATCTCTAGTAATTTCTCACTTGTCGCTTAGTTTGGAGAGTAGACAAACACTTTTCAGTGTAGCAGTCGTCCATGTTGAAAATGACATTGACCAGCCAGCTTTGATAAAAAACCTAAACAAGACATTGACAAACCAAAACTGACAAGACCTTGACCACCTAGCTCTGATAAGGTCTTGACCACCCAACACTGACAAGACCTTGACCACCTAGCTCTGATAAGGTCTTGACCTTCCAACACTGACAAGACCTTGACCACTTAGGTCTGATAAGGTCTTGACCATCCAACACTGACAAGACCTTGACCACCTAGCTCTGATAAGGTCTTGACCATCCAACACTGACAAGACCTTGAACACCTAGGTCTGGTAAGGTCTTGACCATCCAACACTGACAAGACCTTGACCACCTAGCTCTGAAAAGGTCTTGACCATCCAACACTGACAAGACCTTGACCACCTACCTCTAAAAAGGTCTTTACCATCCAACAGAGACAAGACCTTGTCCATCCAGCTCCGATAAGAACATGACCGCACAATTCTCTTAAGAATAAGGCTATGTGACGTAATAATTGACTTGGTTTCTGCTCTAGTCAGCTCACCATATACCACATAACGAGAGACCTTGTGACTTTCAGACCTGGACCTCAGCTACGGTTATTTGGAAAATGACCTGCTGCTCAGCTTAGCCATGTCAACAACCAGCCTGAAGCAGATCACAGTTCGTGCTGACGAAATCCCAATGATAGAAAGTCAAATAACCCCTCTAGCATGGGAGAACCTTACAGCGGCATGTCCCGAGCTCAGAGTCCTATTTTTCATCAAACCCATATCTGTGAGCTGTTGTTTAACAAAATGCATACAAACTTTCAGTATAACAATGTTTTATAAATAACAAGAGAAATATAAACATTAATTTAATTTTGATATTTAACTGGCAAAGGTTTTAACACACAGCAGCTTTTACTATAGTAGCTAAACAAAATGCTTACATTCTGTTTATTATTTTAGTAATAATTATAATTGAATACTTAATTGTAAAGTCTTGAACCTAACTCAGAAACTCCTATTTAGGAGTCGTACTTCCAAGACGTGACAATGATCCTAACACCATCCATGCCGCTCTATCAAGTCAAATGGAAATCTGGCAGTGTCATAGCTGTAGAGAACATAGAGAAGTTCTTTCAACATATGGGACAAAACTTTCAGGTGAAGGGGATGTGAGGGATGGGGGTATTAGTAAAACTAGTTTTTTTTACGTGTTTGTATTTAGCTAAAAAGCGAGGTGGAATGGGAAACATATACATATTTATTTAGAGAGCCGAGGCATTGCCCATTTAGAAATTTTTTTTTTGCGCGGAGTCAGCGTTAACTAATTGAGACTAATGCAGCTTTAATAAAACAACACTCGTGATTTGTACTTATATAATCGTCTGTGTTTACAGGAAACTTTACATCATCTGAAGTTCCGTACTGATGTCCCCATAGACATGGAACGCTTTGAAGTGTTGATCAAGAGGTATCCGAAATCTGATTTGTTCTATTTTTGCTTTTGATACATTTCAATATGTTTTTTTTGTTCAAAATTAACTAAGTATAAAAATATATTGCCTAGGGCAGGGGTCGGGAACCTGCGGCTCGCGAGCCGCATGCGGCTCTTTTGATGTCAAGGTGCCGCTCTCGAGTTCCATGCACAATGATTAATAACAGTATTATTTCATTTTCAAAACTCATAAAAATTTTATACTGTAAAGAAAAACCACTTTAAATATGATTACAAAACACATCAGAGAACATTGAAAATAGGTGAGGTAGAAAGTAAATGGACAGCTGACAGCCGCTTTCGCACCAGGCCCAGCATCACGGCCGTGCTGTAGCCAGCCCAATGTCGACAATTCCATTCATGCCACTGCTGAAGTGCAGACTTTTTCGAATATCCTTAAATGGGGAATGTTATTTTATTCGGAATTGAGGTATTTTAGTTATTAGTATCATACGGTGGAGCCAGGTACTGGACTGTGGGAAACACGTAGGGTGGAAGATAAGCACTTTGAGAACGGAAGGACAGAAGCGACCGATTCAGTTATCAAACCTATATCTAAGCCAGTTTGTAAGAGTTGTGGGCTGCTTGGCTATGGGAGACACCTCCCTCCTGAGCCTGTGGTGCCCGCAATGAAAGAAAAAAAATCAAAGTCATTGGCTTCTAAAGTGGATTGGGATTGTCCTATAGTTATATTATTTGATAACTAACTAAATCATAGCAGAGCTAGCTAAAAACACACTTTTTTTGTGCGAAACATGTTTTTCTATAAATCAATATTAGTTAATATTTAACTGTATTTATTTCAAATAAATAATTAAAATTTATCTACTTAATTCTAATAAAAAACAGAATATTGGAAAAATAATGTTAGTGGCTCTTTAAAAACTGGAAAATGTTGTAAATTGTAGCTTTTGGCTCTTTCGTCTCAGAGGGTTGCCGACCCCTGGCCTAGGGTGAACCAAGATTATATGCACAAATTCTAATCGGTGTATATAATAAGTTGGACATATTTTGGATCAATGAAGCAAAGATAATCTTATAATGGTCACGTGACGGGTGGCATCTATCAGAACTTGGTGGACTAGAGTCAGGTACCCATCAGAGCTGGGTGGACTAGAGTCAGGTAGCCATCACAGCTGTGTATACATAGGAACGTCCACGAACGCCGAGTCTGTACGCTCCGAGTCTGTACGCTCCGAGTCTGTACGCTCCGAGTCTGTACGCTCTGGGTCTGTACGCTCTGGGTCTGTACGCTCCGAGTCTGTACGCTCCGAGTCTGTACGCTCCGAGTCTGTACGCTCTGGGTCTGTACGCTCCGAGTCTGTACGCTCCGAGTCTGTACGCTCCGAGTCTGTACGCTCTGGGTCTGTACGCTCCGAGTCTGTACGCTCCGAGTCTGTACGCTCCGAATCTGTACGTTCCGAGTATGTACGCTCCGAGTCTGTACGCTCCGAGTCTGTACGCTCCGAGTCTGTACGCTCCGAGTCTGTACGCTCCGAGTCTGTACGCTCCGAGTCTGTACGCTCCGAGTCTGTACGCTCTGAGTCTAGGTGCTAGTATAGTGCTTGTCAACACCACGCGTACAACAGCATTGTATCTGTGATACGATGTAAAGTTATGATGTGTTATACATGTATGGAATGTTTTATTTTATATGCTACCTGTGTGTCCACAGTTTACAGCCGTGCGCAAATCTGGACAGCTTCTCGCTAGGCTTGACCTCTTGTGTGATTGATGACGTGGAGATGTACAAGTTGGCCATCAGAGATGTCGTGAAGCGATGCCCATTGTCATGTGACCTCACACTGAACGTCTAAGTCAAATAAAAGGGGTCAGTCTGACACGGTTGGTGGGGTCAGGAGAGTTCGCCATGTTGGATCAGTTCAGGAATTATTTTTTTTTATTTGCAGTAAAAAATATTGAGCACATACGTTTCTGATTTTCTTATTTCTTCTGAAAAGTATATTCGTTTCTGATTTTCTTATTTCTTCTGAAAAGTATATTCGTTTCTGATTTTCTTATTTCTTCTTAAAATATATATTCGTTTCTGATTTTCTTATTTCTTCTTAAAATATATATTCGTTTCTGATTTTCTTATTTCTTCTTAAAAATTAATTCGTTTAATCATACGATTTAAAACTTCCAAGTTCAAACTTTGCAAATAATTAATCTATGCCAGGGTACGTTATTTGAAGAAATTGTTTTGGTTTTATGAATAGGTCACGTTACGCTGGTTTAGTGTTTTTTTTAGATCTTAAAGAGAGGGTCAGTACTGGGTCTATAGCATAGAGGCAAGCTGTTATACAACAATAGAATGGGGTCCATATTGCTATGATTATAGCATGATGCTATAACTTGTCACTGTCATTGTCAGGGTGACGGTCACAGTCGTGTTCGTGATAAATAAAGAGTCTGACAAAATCAAGCTTTGAAGGAAGGGAAAAATCTAGGTTGACATCATTCAAACAAATGTATATATAAAGGTTACGGTCGCTGCGATGGTGCTTATGGTTACGCTGGTAGTTATTCTTCTTCGTTCTTTATTCAAGTATTGGAAGGGATTCCCCTCCAACACAATTAAGTATAGGGCCTACGTGTCAACTGGTTATGCGTCATATAGGCCATTGACTACGATTTCCACCCGATTGTCTTTTTGGATTTGCTTCCATTACCTTTGTCCAACCAAGAACAAACTACAAGGCATCAGTTGTTTGATTTTGGAGTTGACTATCCTAGATGGGACGCTGTCCCCATCTATCAAGACGTAGACGTCTACACACATCTCTCCCCCCCCCCGGAACGAAAAAGGATTTGTATAGAAATTATATAATTTTACCATCCCCCATCCACTGAGAATTAAATCCTACCCCGGGAAAATTTCAAGTGCCCAACAACCCCCCCCCCCCCCGCCCCCTCAGAGCAAACAAAAGCGGCGATTTCCATACAGCCACCATACAGCCACCATACAGCCACCATACATCCACCTTACAGCCACCATACAGCCACCATACAGCCACCATACAGCCACCATATAGCCACCATACAGCCACCATACAGTCACCATACAGGATCAATACAGCCACCATACAACAACCATACAGCCACCATACAGCCACCATAGTACAGCCACCATACAGCCACCATACAGCCACCATAAAGCCATCATACAGCCACCATACAGCCACCATACAGCCACCATACACACCATACAGCCATCAGCCACCATACAGAAACCAAACAGCCACCATACAACAACCATACAGCTACCATACAGCCACCATACAACCACCATACAGACACCATACAACCACCATACAGACACCATACAACCAGCAAAGACGACGGCAAGCCGCGATTTTATCCGAGAACCGTATGAATGATAGTTGTGTGCTCAATTGTTGTATAATCTTTAATTTTCAAATATAAGCTACATCGCTTTAATCAGTTTTTTTTCTACCATACACTGCTGCATATCTGTGGGTATTCTTCTCATGCAAATAAAGTTAACAATTTATACAAACTAAAGTTCAGTTTCATGATTCATGGACCCGCAACCACAGGTGTAATTTAACCATAAATACATGCTGTCACACTACTCTTTACTTTTCTATTGTATTTTCTAGTATTTTACATTTTAATAAAACAATTTAAAAAACTTTATAGCAATTAGCTTTTAAATGCACTGAAAATAAGAAAATAAAACTACTCTACTTTCTTTCTTAAAAGCTTTGATCTTCACGAGATCTTGTATTTATTTTAGCGACTAAAGTTTTTTTCCCACGATTGCACTACTTTATGTATACTCGGTATGCCAGTGGGTTCAAAACAATTTTTTCAAGAAAACCAGATCTTTTTTTCCTACTACTCGGCATATAAAATTTTACCACCGGTGTTTCGAGCCGCCCCTTTCTAGTTCAAACATGCGTGGCAAACACTGCGGGGGATATTACGGAAGAAAGGTCTTTTGTATAAGAAAGTCCCTGGAGCGTATACGATTATGTCGAGACGCACATTGGGGGCCGGCATCAAAATATTTAACTGCTTTTAAAAACATGACCAGCAGTGGCGGAGCAAGAAATTAAGTTTATTTATCGATATTTTGAAAGTGATGATTAGAGCGAACAGGATAATACCAAAATAAATATGTTTATCATGTAAAATAAAGATACACAGTCTAGACCAGGGGTCGGCAACCTTTTGAAGCGGAAGAGTCAAAAGTTACAATTTTCAAAATTTACCCTGGTTTTAAAGAGCCACTAACATTTTTTTTATTTCAAATTTTTTATTTTTTTATTAAGATTATTAGTATTTGTTTAAGGAGCTGGAGAGCCGCATCTTGATATCAAAAGAGCCGCATGCGGCTCGCGAGCCGCAGGTTGCCGACCCCTGGTCTAGACTTATTATCAGCATATTTTTTTAGGGCGGCAGGCATAAAACAAACACAATTAGAATCATAAATATTATTAATTTAAAAGTAAAGAACTATTTATAAATTTCATCCCTTTGTATAGTTAGCAATAAATACTTCTATAAGATGAGCTGGATTAATACAGTATCATTAGCACGACATGATCGAGATATAACATACATGTATCCAAGACTAAAAAGAATCACTGACAAATAAATAAACCTGAAAAAATTAACAAAAGGTCAATTATGTGTCAGTTAGGAATATATTTAATTTATGTCTAACAAACACCATTGACATTTTCTACGATAGTTAATTGCAGTTTTTAAATGAATACTACTGCTTGATGCATTTACGATTTAGTCTGACTAAATTATTGTGAATATATCGAGTTATGAGGCGCAACTGTCCCCATTTCTCTGGTAACTACCTGATTTACGTAAGAGAAACTAGAGATGCACAGCCAAAGCCAAAGAACTGATCACGTTATAAACCGATGTTACAAGAACAGGTGCTGCATTGTCTAACTGGATCCTCTAGGTATTTTTACATTTACTTACATACGTGCATATTTTTCTCATTCTTAATACATTTATATATTAGTCACTGAATATATCATCCATTTAAATTAATTACCACATTCTGCCTACACCTCTGCTTGAGAGAAGAATTTCAAAACGAAGGAAATGTCAGAGCCCGCGCCTTTTAATTGCAGCCTATTTAAAACGCGCGTCTTTTTTTTTTATTGCATACAGGCAGAGGTTTAGCGCCAGGTAAGATATATTTTAAATATTAAATTATTCTTAACATTCAAATTGGTTTCAATCTAGTTAAATTGCTAATTAATACTAACATTTTGGCAGAAAAACAAAACTTGCAATGAATTAGACTAAACTAAGAAAAAAAAACAGTTTTAACAAATTTAATCTGATAATATATACAATATATCATGGTCCATTAAATATATAGTATTATTCACCACATCTTTTATACTTTAGTTTCGCTGTTCTGTCTGTCTGTCAATATACATACATATATATAGGTAGAGAAAAAAAAACACTGGCAATGAAAACTGCTACAGGTACATTGAATAAAACTAAGAAGGATTTATCTAATCGATTCAAACAAAACGAATTTTGTAAAGTTTAAGCTTCCCAAAACTAGAAGAAATAGAATGACGTCATCAAATGTAGAGTAAACATAATTTAAAACTAAATGCCGAAATGAACACACAATAAATTGACGTCATTGATTCTAGAGTAAATAAATCTAATGCCGAAAACAGTGAACAAGTATAACGATGTCATCGCTACTCGATAATAAAGACGCACTACCGCCAAATTTATTTATCTAATCTTAATTGAGGTCTGCCTGTTGAGTTTCTTTCAACTTCTCTTTGAGTAGGGATGCATAGCCCCCCCTCCCCAATCCCTCCCCCCACAGGCACTGAAGAACGTCAAACGTAGCTGACTCACAACGAGAAATTATATTCTCCTCCCCATTGTCCGCCCCCTCCCCGGAAAATTGAGTTATACCCCCCCCACTGAAAATTTATACTGACTCCACCCCCTCCCCCTCCCCGAAAAAATGTCTACAAGAAACACTGTCTGAATAATTGAGATTTATTAGAGGTGGGGAGGCGAAAACTGGTAAAAGTATATACATTTTGTTCGGGTGTGTGTGTGGGGGGAGGGGGGAATACCAAATAAAATATTGTGGTAATGTCAAGAATTAGCGTCTTTAGGCCTACACAAAAAAGAGCGGCGTTTTTGATTTATGAATTTAAAAAAAGTTGAATTAATAAGCGAATTCCGAAAAAGATAAATAATAGTAATGACGTCTTTGATTACAGAAACGAAAAAAATAAACCTGCAGTGATCTCCCCTAAACTTTCCCGAATATTCTTATATAAAACTACGGGGGATGGCAACTCGGGATATAGACAATATTTTAAATCCATTTTTAATTACTTAAACTTTTTATAATAGAAAAGAATCTCGTAGTAAAAAGAATTGTACACCAAGTAAACGCAAAACAAAATGTGTTTAATAGTGCGGAATATTATTAGTACTTTAAAAATTAAATGCGTTTTTTAAGAAATCGGAAATAGTAAAAATTAATACTTTTGGCCAACGGAAATTACTCAAAATTTGAATTGAGGCAGAGAATTAGATCTTTTACTTACGTGTGAAATTTAATGTATCTATCTGATTTTATACTCAAGTTATAGGTTTTTTGAAAAATTGAAAGTAGAAAACGTTTCACTTCCGGTAACCGGAAGTCGCTCAAAAATTTATACGGATCTACTATTTTGAAATAATACTTATATATGAAATTTCATGCGAAACTTGATACTTAGTAAGGATATAGCTCTAGAATATAGCCACCTGGAAAATAACAAGATTCACATACACGTATTATAAATAGATTATAGGATTATATTTCTCTTAGTATCGATCGAATGTGATCTACTATTAATGATTTTTAGTGTCTTTATATAATTTAGATTTTGACTAAATTTTAAAATATTAATTCTGATAAACATTGGTCATTTTCACTTGTGATCGAAAATCTCTTTTAGATCCACAATGAGTAACTCTTCAACCAACAAACCAAATATAGAAGACATAAACAATATGGCCAGTGAGAAAGACCTATCAAAACTTTTTACAGGTATTGTCAATTCATTTTCTTTTTATGTAGATTACTTGATGGTAATTATTGTGACTGAAGTTTTAAAATTTTATCAAATTTTTTCAAACGTTTAACAGCTAAACATATGTTTACAGTAATAAAAGTGTTTTGTTTACCTATACAGGTACACATGAAGTACAAGAATGTCTTGAAGGTGACAGTGAGTACGATTTGGATGTTTACAAGAAACAATGCCAGAAATCGCATGCAGGGTTCGTACCTGTAAAAAAATTTACCATTACACATTTACCATTTGAATACTGCGATAACGACCTGTATGACTTCACAAAAGCCATGGCTGACCTAATTGTCAGGATAGCCATTACGTTCACTAGTCCAGAAAGACCAGAGTTTGTACCAGGCACTCAAGATCCATATCCTTGCTACAACACCAGGGGACAGAACTCACTGAGGACAGGGACTGGGAGGGTGTGGGAGTTATGCAAGTACTCAAAAGATATGGACCAGAAATTGTATACATACAGAACTTGTCCATGTCCAGAATGTGACCACTCGGACACACCCAGCAAAGTCTGGTGAAGGGTTGAGGTGTTTACAGCCAAACATGTGGTTTTTAATGAGAGTGAGGCGAGAAAGTCCAGCTGTAGGTTGTGGTTTGATGAGGATAAAAGTCCAGTGGTCAAGATTTATGGGTGGATCGTGCGTGAGATAGACACCGGGGAAGACTGGTGTAGTTTTTTTTATGCAACACATGACTTAGATGTAGGTGATAAACTGCAGGAAATGGTGAAGCGCTTTGATAATCTACGTCAGAAATTAAGTGACAAATACGAGAGTCGTACGGATGTGGACAAGCTGACCATTATAGTGTCACATCCTCATGGCTGTTCTAAGCAGGTCTCTGTAGGTCACTGGGTACACAGGCGGGAAGTGAAGTTTAAACATACCAGTTACACATATACTGCTTGTACCTGTCCAGGTAGCAGTGGAGCTCTGGTCTACAGACTGGAAAGTTCGTCCTCTGACCATACCCACAGTGGTGCCAACTCTGATGGATTAAATTATAGTGGGGTGGAGTGGGGCTAAGATTTAAATTGTCTATTGTGTTGGTTGTTTAGTCGTGGCTAGAACTTAGGAAAAAATAATGCCAAAACATTTAACTTGTTCATAGGAATTGTGTGAGAGTGGCAGATGGAAGTAAAGGGAAATTTTAAAAAAGGAAGTTTTTTATCTTGTTAAAATATTTGTGAAAACAATATCTACACTGTACAGATAGAGTGGAACATGAATATTTTTATGGTAAATATTTTTGTTAAGAGTATGTTTGTGGAAGGCTTGCATATATTAAAAAAATGTCTTAGCTCACCATTATCTTATCTTCGCATAGTGTACATTGTGTGCATAAATATAAATTAATGTCTAATATATTAATTATTTATCAATACTAGAATATTTAGTCATTTTTCAAACAATTTTTTTAATGTATGTAAAATTCTAATCACAAATTAAAAAAAAAATTATGTCTTGAAAAGAAAATATTTAACATTTCTATAATATGTATTCATTTTACAACTGATATGTTTAATTAAAATAAATTACAAAGAACAAAATCAAAATAAAATGTTTGATCTTTTTCAAAATTTATAATATTTTCTAATAATTATTCATTTTTTTCCGTGAACGAAATAAATGATTTAAAAGACATAATCAAATTATTTTCTTTTACTTTGTTTTCATGTTGGCAAATAATTACAGAGTTTTCATGTATTAGTAAAGTACAATGTAGTAGGTAAAATAGAGGTATTTTAAATACTACATTCATTTATCTTACACTCTAAATAAATTGTTTATTCATTATTTTTTTAAAAATCAATAATAGTTTTGAGCCATTCCAAAATGGCCTCATTATGTTTTCAATTATGTTTGCATTAGCATTATTGTGTGGTTTTATGTTTGCGTATATTATTATGTTTCAGATTGGGCTATTATTTACATGTATAGTTGCTTATATGTTTTTTTTTTTATTTTCGCATTTTTGTTTGAGCTAGCACTAGTGTTTTCGTTATTTTGGGATTATATACCATTTTTATTGAAGGTGTATTTGTAAATATTGAGGTTTGAGAAAATGGAAAATCAAACGCAAATTTAAATTGAAAAATAAACGAAAACATACAAGTTCATGTTCGTTCTCACGTTCAAAATCATATTCATGTTCAAGTAACTGTTTGTGTTCGTACTTGTGTGTTTTGTGTTGTGTTTGTTGTTGTTGTGTTTTTTAGGTTGGAGTTAGGTTCACAAACTTTCCCAGGTTAAAAACTTTCCGAGGGTTTGTGACGTGATTTGATGTTAAGGCCAAACCAAAAATAGTTTCAAAGAAAAATACTGGGACTTATATTAACGTCCCTTGAAACGCATTGGAATAATCGCAACTTTTATGGAAAATCGAACTTTAAAGCCAAACCAAAAATAATTAGTTAAAAAGAAAAACATAATCCACTTTCTAGATCTACATCTAAATATATTCTAGATCTAGATCTAGAGTTTTGGAAAAGCTAGTCTTAAGCCAGCCGTAGATTCTAGATTCATATCTAGCAGCAATAATGAGTTTCTATACTAAACTATGTCAGGCCTTAATCATTTTATATAAAGCTTTGTTTGTTTAGCTATGGAATTGGCTAATTGTGGATATAATTTAATTTGAAATAATACGCGTAACTCAAGTTTCTTACTCGGACTGTCTAAGTAAACTACTCCACTAATTTTTCACCTAATTGGAAGTACCCAGATAGCCGAGTTGATAGTGTAATAGTTACCATATGGATGGTACGGGTTCGAGACCCAGCAAGTCAATATTTTTTTTTTAAATTAGTTTTTTTTAAAAAGAGATATAAATGATAAATTTGCCTATCTAAACTTTTACAAAACGTGCACAATTATTTTTTTTATACAAGATTCTATTCTATTTTAAAAGGTTTTAGTAATTACAAATGGATTAAAAATCATGTCTATTCCTTGAGTTGTCATCCACTGTAGTGTTATATTAGAATATTCGAGAACATTTAGGGTAGATTACTCCATTTTTTATAACACAATACAAATTTAAATCTTTAAAAATTAATTAATTAATCCAATTCAAACAATTTTAATTCACATTGCATTGTCACCAAGTCTTGACCCACGCGTCAAAGTTGAGTGCAATCGTTCTGATACAAGTGGTCAAATTATCGCTCGTCAACTCCGACCTCCGACCCAAAGAAATAAACAGATTAAAGAAGTTAATTATATTGCGAATAATACAACAATAAATACAACATTAATTCTCAAAAACAAATAGATTTCATAAAAATGTAATAAAATAAACTGATCTTTTTTATCCTAATCTAATAACCACAAAAATCATTTAAGAATTAAAATTGAGTTTTAGATTCCAAAGTGCTTCAATTTAAATAATTCGATACACGTCATCAAAAATTGTGTAGCGCTTCACTTTCAACTTCCTGTACATAATATGGCGCGGATGTAAGGTATATATTATTATTTCATCGTTGGATATCTATATAAACATCTCAATATAAATAATATAATATAAACGAGAAGTGACACATAGCTACACGGCGATATGTCGTTGTTCAGCATCAAAAAAATAAAAAGGGCTGCAGCTGAATTTGTTGGCGGTGGGACTAAACAGGTAAAGATACGCCCTATAGTTTCCTATAGTGTCCTATACTCACTTCCTATATTGTCCTATAGTGTCCTAAAGTGTCTTTTAGTGTTTTTAGTGTCTTAAAGTGTCTATACTCGCGTCCTATAGTGTCCTATAGTGTCTGATAGTGCCCTATACTAAAGTCCTATAGTGTCCTATACTCTCGTCCTATAGTGTCCTATATTGTCCTACAATCAAATCCTATAGTGTACTATACTCACTTCCGATATTGTGTAATACTAACAGTTCAGGTTTGGTAGGTTTACCAAGTTTAACTAGAAGACTTCGATCATTATATTTTTACATAGATAAAAGCAAATTTGCAAATTGTGTATTTAAATTAACAGTAAAAAATTCGAAACTCTAGCATTAAAATAATTTAGATATGTAATGTTTTACGAATAAACATTATAAAAGATGATTATGTAGAGAACTTATTTTTTTTTAAATAAACACGTTTTAATAACAAGCTTTTAGGTACTTGTAATAGATTGAAATAATTGTGAGGTCAAGGGAACTCACTCTCTGTATTAGTATTATATTTATATTGTTATCTTGAGTGATGTCCCTTACATGTTGTTATCTATAAATAGTTCTCTCTCGCCATTTCTCTTCCTCTCTTGGCTTCATGGCGTCTGTACATAATAAAGACTGTTAATAACCAACGCGGCTTCTCGTCAGTCATTACAATCCACGTCATTTGGCGACGAAGGATAAACATCTACTAGAAAGAGCACCTACTTACGCAAAAAAGAGGTTTGCTAGAGCTTATTAGCTAATTATTTCTAGAATTATGGCGCTGTATGGCCAAATAAAAGAATTTGATGCGAATGATGAAATCATTCAAGATTACCTAGAGAGGTTAAGCTTTTACCTAGAAGCTAACGACGTGACGATAGAAGCCAAAAAGAGAGCTGTTTTGTTAACAGTCATAGGGCCTCAACAATTCAGGCTACTAAAGGACTTATGCGCACCAGCTAGTCCAGATACCAAGAGCTTTAACGAGCTGAGCAAATTGCTAACAGACCACCATGCGCCTACCCCATCAAAGTTTCTATGTCGAGCTAGATTTGACAGTAGGACTCGTCAACCAAACGAGTCAATATCAGAATATGTTGCTGCTTTACGTCATTTAAGTGAATTTTGTGAATTTGGAGAAACGCTGTCTGACAGACTGTGTGAAAAGTTTGTGACAGGTGTAAACAGCCCTGATATTCAAAGAAAGTTGCTGCTCGAGTCAGATCTAACATTAGAAAAAGCAATACAACTAGCAACTTCATTCCAGCAGTCATCTGATGCGGCGAGATCTTTAGCACCTTCAGAGATCCATGCAGTAAACAGCAGGTTAGTCAATAAACATCAACCCCAACAGAGCATTCCAACTTATGCTAAACACCCTGCTCGTTCAAATCCTAGATCTAAATCTAGTAATAATTATCAAAAATGTCATCGATGCAAAGGTCCCCATGCATCTCATCGGTGCAAGTTCAAGTTAGCAACTTGTTATAAGTGCAGTAAGCAAGGTCACATTGCCAAGGCCTGCTTTGCAAAGTCTTCGTCTGTTGCTAAATCTAGCCAGTCAAGACAGTACCGCAACCAAAGGCAGCACTATGTTAACTCTCACCAAGACTACCTAACCCAACCAATGAACCACTCTACCTGTGAAAATGCTCAAACTGATTCGCAGCCGGATTTCAGCCTGTTCTCTGTGAAATCAATAAGTCATGCTCCCATCAATGTACTAGTTAATATCAACGGTAAGAGCATCAGCTTCCAACTTGACACTGGAGCATCTCTAACAGTCATAACAAAGAAAGAGTTTGACGCTGTCACAGGAGGATCAGTGCCTCTACAGCCATGTCACAAGTGTCTAACAACATACACTGGTGACAATGTTCCGGTAATAGGAGAGTGTATGGTTCATGTAAGTTATAATGGTCAAAGTGTTAAACTTCCTCTTCTTGTGGTTGAAGGAAATGGACCGCCATTACTAGGTAGGAACTGGTTAAGTGATCTTAAGTTAAATTGGGAGAGTATTTGTTCATTGAAGAATGTAAAAGAATCTAGTCTTACTTCACTAGATAAAGTTATATCTGAAAATAAATGTGTTTTTGGTAATTCAGGTTTACTAAATGATAGAACAGTGAAGTTAAGCATTAAAGATACAAATCCAAGATACTGCAAAGCTAGAGTTCCACCTTATGCAATGAGGAATAAAATTGAAAATGAGCTAAGTAGATTGGAATCTAATGGCATTATAAAGAAGGTAGACTATTCCGATTGGGCGACACCCATTGTGCCAGTGTTAAAGAAGGATGGTTCTATAAGAATTTGTGGAGATTATAAAACTACACTGAATAAGCAAATAGAGCTAAATAGGTACCCTAGACCTAACATTGAGGAAATTTCTTTGAATTTGGCAGGAGGAGACAAATTCACTGAATTAGACTTTAGTCATGCTTACACTCAACTAGAACTGCATCCAGATTCAAAAGTCTATACGACAATAAACACACATAAAGGACTCTACCAATATGAAAGACTATGTTTTGGCATATCATCTAGCCCTGGAATTTTCCAAGCTGTCATGGACAGTATTTTTAAGGATATTCCAAATGTTTGTGTGTACTTTGACAATGTGTACATAACTGGTAAGAATGACACTGAACATCTTAAAACACTAGATAAAGTCTTGAAAATTGTTGGTGAAAAAGGTTTAAAGATAAACAAAGATAAATGTCAATTCATGTTGACAGAAATTAGTCTTCTTGGTTATATATTGAGCAAACAAGGCATCAGACCTCAACCTGAGAAAACAAAAGCCATTAAAGAAGCACCCAAACCTGAAAATACCCAACAACTAAGAGCTTTTTTGGGCTTGATAAATTACTATGCAAAGTTCATGGGAAATCTGTCTGGTAAACTATCACCACTGTACAAGCTGCTACAGAAAAATGCAACTTGGCACTGGGGTAAACAACAAGAAGCTGCTTTTAATACAGCAAAAGAGGCTTTGTCTGCTGACACCTTACTAACTCACTATGACCCAGGAAAAAGACTTATATTAACATGTGATGCTTCACCAGATGGTGTAGGAGCAGTCTTGTCCCACATGGATGAGAAGGGTGACAGACCCATTGCTTTTGCCAGTAGATCTTTGAACCAGGCTGAGAAAAATTATTCTCAGTTAGATAGGGAAGGCTTAGGCATCATTTTTGGTGTTAAGAAATTTCATAAATTTCTGTTTGGTAGGAAGTTCACCATCTTTACAGATCATAAACCATTGCTAGGTTTATTTGGAGAAAACAAAACCCTACCTGAGCATGCCTCACCAAGAATTCAAAGATGGGCTATCACACTAACTGCATACAATTATGAATTGAAATACAAACCTGGATCTGAGAATAGTGCAGATAGTCTTAGTAGATTACCTTTAAAAAACCAAAGCCTGAGCTATGTACCAGAAGATGTTTTTGTTCTCTTCACTATCATGGATAACTCCAATATAAATGTGAATGATATTAAAAGAGAAACACAAAAAGATGAGTGCTTAATAAAAGTATATGAGTACTGTAAGAATGGTTGGCCTGAAGAGTCTGTGAATGATGACTTAAGGCCATATAAAATAAGAAATAAAACCCTTTGTGAAGATAATATAAAAGATGGAGAAGATGCAGTCCATTATCAGTCAGAGTTGCCTAAACAAAGTATTTGTAACTTAATAAATGATTATGGTGATATGGCAATTTCAAATGTTTTAAAGAGAATACATTAGTAAGAAGGAATGTGATCATCAAACAACTTTGCTAACATCATTAGCACTTACAGAAACTAAAAGAAACTAAAAGGGTAACATCAAAAGAAAAGAGCAAAGATTTTTGCCATTGAATACACCCACTTCAAATACTGGATCACAGTTGCAAAGTGATATGGTCCAGAATATTACTCATAAACAGTATTTTTGGTTACCAAAAAGCAATATCAGATTACCTGAGAAAATTGATCAATCAAAGAAATCTATGTCAGTCAAGGATCTGAATAACAGCATAATACTTTCAGATGCCAATTCAAAAATAGTTCCATTAAATCATGACAAACATTCATTGAAAGAGAATTTGGTGTTAATGAGAATGTGTATCTAAGAAATTATGGGAAAAAGGAAAAATGGATACCAGGTCAAATTGTTCAATGTACAGGACCTGTGCCTTATTAAGTTAAAAATAACTTGTGCAGATAATAAGTGTGAATCTATCAATCCCACCAAATCTGAACAGTTCACACCAACTCAGTTTGTTTCACAACCAAGTTCTGTTGATATGAGTGAACCAAGTTGTCTGGAGTCAGAAAATGTAAATTCTGGAGTTAATGATTTAAATCCTAGACCTCCTGAGATAGAGAATCCAGATGGTCAGAATATTGAGTCACCAAATCAAAAGCCACTGAGAAGGTCAAGCAGGACAATCAAGGTCCCAAATAAGTTAGAACTATGATTTTAAAGGTCAAAAGGACTTTGACATTATTGTTTTGTATCTTGATTATGTTGTGGCATATTGTGCATTGTTTGTAAGGATGTAATCTACCATAGTGTTCATGTTACAATATAATTGGTGATTTTAGGATACTATCAATTGTTCTATTGAGAGATGTGTTATTGTGTTCTAAGGGTAAAGGGATGTAATAGATTGAAATAATTGTGAGGTCAAGGGAACTCACTCTCTGTATTAGTATTATATTTATATTGTTATCTTGAGTGATGTCCCTTACATGTTGTTATCTATAAATAGTTCTCTCTCGCCATTTCTCTTCCTCTCTTGGCTTCATGGCGTCTGTACATAATAAAGACTGTTAATAACCAACGCGGCTTCTCGTCAGTCATTACAATCCACGTCAGTACTAATGCACCAAAAGTAGAAAATAAACTATAGACTACTATTTAAATAACTATTAAAAAAGCGTGGGTCACTATCGGATACCTCTACTAATGTTTAGGAAGTGACCCACACTCTTCTTTATAGTATTTTAAATAATAGTGTCTAATTTATTTTCTACTTTTTAGTGCATTAGTACATATAAGTTTGTTGTTACAACGTTTTTTACGAAATAATTTTTTAATACGTTACATGTTTTATTAACACTAGAATTGCATGACTAAAAACCATTTCGCGCCTATAGAACGTGATGACGCGTGTATAATAGCGCAGAATAGTTCGGTAATACTGCCTACTAATTTGGACCAAATTTAAAATAATTCGCAAAAAATTAATTAGGCAACCAATTAAGTCAAATTTAATGTCTTGACCTACGTACCAACTATGAACCGTATCTGTCAGTTAGAAGTGCCTGCAAATAATCAAAATGATTTAATGAGCCTTTCGAATAATCTGTGATAATGCTCTCGGTTGTGTCCATCAGAGGCGATACTATGCGAGGGAGGTAGTTGGAATCGCCCGGAGTGCCGATGTTAAGGGCGCCCAACGGGGGAGAAAAATAATTATAGAAATTATATTTAAGTGTTTTCTGCATCAATGGACACCAGCGAGTTGACGAGATTCTTTCCATAATGTTTATGATATGGAATAAAAACTTGCTTTTTAGATTTAGACCGTAAAAAAAATAAAAACTTAAGCCTAAAATTAATTTAGAAGTTTTATATTTTTAGAATAAATGCTATAAAAGTTGCAAATCCAGAGAACTTGAAAATAATTTGTTGAGTATAATGCTACATTTCTATTTATTTTCATCAAGCCTAAGTTATAACCGGATGTTTCACTTTCGTAAGACAAATATTGATTGGCTGTACAGTAACTTAGTGATCGATAACTATTTGTTTACAAAACTTTGCAGATCAAGATTTTAATTAACAATGCAAATTTAAAACCCCATGACATAGTTTTCTATTTTTAGCTTGCAATGTGTACAGTAAAATTTATGGCGGCCTATCCAATAGCAGGATGCCATTGTTTATGTCGCCATTACACGTGAAAACCAAATTCTTTTTCCTTTTTTTTAAATTTTAATTTAGTTACCGATTTTATAACCATATTAAATGTAACTAAGCTGTGCATGATTTTTAAATTAATTTATGGACCTCTCAAATACCTTTGAGACTTTTCTCGCTGGTGTCCATTCTATGACACCAATATAAAAACCATTAAAAAGTGACTAGACCTTTCTAAGCTAATATATCGACAAGTCGCTACGCCTCTGGTGTCTACCAGGCAACGATTGTTTAATACAATTTCAGCCTGACTGGAGCCAGCTGCCGTACGAGATTCTGTTGAACGTCTTCCGTTACCTGAGCAACAGCGACAAGTACCACGCCGCCCTCACCTGCAAGTCCTGGCTCCGTCCACTTTCAGAGCCGTCCGTGTGGCAGTCCGGAGATTTTGTTTTTGACTCAGAGAGCGATGAGAAAGCGATCACGTTTGTGAAAATCACTGGAAAATCATTACGTCACATCCATGCAGAATGTAAAGTAGTCGAACCAGAAACTTGGGGTAAGTCACAGAAATAGTGGTGGAAATGTGCGTCTTTGTACGAACCAGTCAACAACAAATGTACTTGTGTTCTTTCTTGGTTTTTAAAGACGATGACGGCAGCGCAACCTGTACAGGGATGTACCAATTTTTGGCCAACTTATTGAACTCACGCAACCAACAGCTGTTGACTTTCAAACTTACCAATCTGTGCATTTTAGAAATCGATGGCGATAGAGCAAATTCAAGGTCATTTTCAGAGGTCGTTGAACTACTGACTAAAGTCTTGGAGGTCCAACAGCAGCTTCGTGTCCTTGACCTCAGTAACAGCAACAAGTCTCGCAAAAACTGTCGCGAGGATCATCCTACCGTAGATCAAGGTGAGTGTGGCCAGTCTAACATCGGGTGTTTAAAAGACGTTTGGTGTTTACAAGACGTTGGGTGTTTAAAAGACGTTGGGTGTTTAGAAGACGTTCGGTGTTTACAAGACGTTGGGTATTTAGAAGACGTTGGGTGTCTAGAAGACGTTGGGTGTTTAAAAGACGTTGGGTGTTAAGAAGACGTTCGGTGTTTACAAGACGTTTGGTGTTTAGAAGACGTTGGGTGTTTAAAAGACGTTGGGTGTTTAGAAGACATTGGGTGTTTACAAGACGTTTGGTGTAGATTTAATTGTGGTGGTATTAACAATCGTCCACATTTCAACGAGGAGATTGTAGACTGAGCACTTTTTTATACTTCTAATGCATTCAAAACAATAAAATGCTGATTTTCTCCTCACGTGATTAAACTATTAAGCAATAAAACTGGAAACTTTATTTAAATATTCCAAGGTATGAGACTGTTGCATGCTGCTAGTAAAAACTGTGCCAACACGCTACAGAAACTTACGATCGCCAGGTTCGTTAGCTTGATAGATATTTACCCTAATGACTTGAGCTTTCTTCCACAATTTCGAAGCGCCATCGCAGGTTTCAGCAAGTTATCAGGTGGGTTAAATTACGCCATTTTTTAATTAAAAAGAATAGTTTGATTTTGTCTGGTCTTGTGCAGTTTTAAAACAAGTAAATAATTATTAATAATACTTATTAAAAAAACGAACACACGTTTTACTTGAAAGTAGTATGGTGGCTAATGATTCCGGTTATAATATGGAAGTGAGCATTGGTTATCTCTAGTGTTGCATCATTAGCTATTTAGTCAGGACATTAGACAAACACTTTTTAGTGTAGCAGTCCATCCAGTTTTAAAATGACATTGCATAGCCAGCTCTGACTAAACCTTGTCCATCTAGTTTCGAAAAGAACATGACCGTGCAGTTCTCTTAAGACTGACGTTTAGTGTATGCAATATTTGACTTGGTTTCTCCTCTAGTCCACTCACCAACTGTCACATAACGCGAGACCTTGTGACTTTCAGACCTTGACCTCAGCTACGGTTATTTGGAAGATGACCTGCTGCTTAGCTTAGCCAGGACAACAACCAGCCTGAAGGTGATCACAGTTCGTGTAGACAAGCCCCCATATTTCGAGACTAGCACCACCCCTGCAGCGTGGGAGAACCTTACAGCCGTTTGTCCTGAGCTCCGAGTCATATTTTTCATCAAAACCAAATATATGAGATGTATGGTAAAAATGCATAAAAACCTTCATTATAATAATATTTTGAAAAGAAAAGTTTACTTTTGCTATTAAATTAAAACCCGTGTCAGTCTGGCAACCGTTTGAACACAGACGCTTTTAGTATAGTAGATAAACAAGTAGCTTACCTTCTGTTAATTATTTTAGTCAGAGTAACATTGGACGGTGGTAGAGCGCTATGCTGTTAATCCGAAAGTCTCGAGTTCAAATCCAAGGTTCAAGTCAGTAGAACTCTGATGGGTACCTAACTTATAATAAGAAATAAAGACGACTAGGCAAAATGCTGGCTACAGCTCCCTTTCATAAGCCGAGGTTAATTAACATATGAACTCCTCTTTGTCTGCACAATTGCTAGGCCTACAATGATTCTTTACTTTTAAGCACTGAGTAACACAGTATTAATTTCAAGTGCATAAATTATAATTCTATACAGAAATTTCTAAGTAAGTCTTGAAACTAATTCCATTCAGAACACGTCCTTCCAAGACACTACAACGATGCTAACACCATCCATGCCGCTCTATCAAGTCAAGTGGAAAGCTGACAGTGTCATCGCTATAGAGAAAATAAAAAACTTCTTTCAACATGTGGAGCAAAACTTTCAGGTGAGCAGGGTCAATTTCACGAGGAGGGGGGGGGGAACGGTTGGCAAATAATAGGTACAGACCTTTATGGTGAGGGCGATCAGAAATAGGGTGAAGTAGTCAAAAACTAGCTTATGTTTTACATGTTTTCATTTAGTAAATACAAGTTGTTTAATGGTAGAAATACAAATATGTATTTTGTTAACACTAAGCGGAGCCAAAAATTTGGTTGCGCGGAATCAGCGTTTAACTAATTGAAGTTCCTGAAACTTAATGCAGCAACACTCATGATTTTTACTCATATAATTGGTCTGTGTTTACAGGAAACTTTACATCATCTTGATCTACAAACTGATGTTCGTCTAGACATGGAATGCATTGATGCGATGTTCAAATGGTAAGTCAACATTCTAGTGTTGTTCTGGCTGTGGTTTGAGGCTGTTTAGTACATTTTGTAGGTTCATAATGAATTAGTCGTTTAATTTGTAAGAAGTACATCATATGGTCTATTGTGTTTTTAGATTAACTTCGTACATTCTAATAGTTGTTTGACTGTTGGTTATGTTAAATCAATAAAGCATACTTTCTATGAGATAATCTTATCAGATGAAGTAGAGTTTGTATGTGTATGTTTCTTGAACTCTGTATATGACTAAATGGTGTAGCGTGCACCGTGCCCAACAGTTAGACAGGTATCTGAATCACGTTGGGGAACGAGCTGGGTTGAATAGAGCCAGGTACCCATTAGAGCTTAGTGAACTCAGCGACATCCTATTCTGGACACACGTGCAGTTTGTGTGCTACAACATGCTTAGCGTATTAGATACGATATGAGTTTCTAATGTGTGTCATACATTGTATGTTATGTTATTTCTACCCTACCTGTGTTTCCACAGTTTGCAGCCGTGCAAAAATCTGAACAGCCTGTCCCTGTGTTTGACTTGTGACAAGAGTGATGACGAGGAGATATACACGATAGCCATTAGAGATGCCATGTGGCGATGTTCAGTCTCATGTGATGTCACACTGAACGGTCAAGCAGTCAAATAAAACTGGTCAGTCTGACACGGTTGGAGGGACCTGGAGACTAAAGAATGTTCGACCAGTTGACGATGATTTTAGATCCGTATAAAACAATGTTGTAAAAATTAGTTTCTGTTTTTTATTTCTATTCAAAAATGTATCCGTTTAATTATTCGATTTAAAACTTTAAAGTTCTTACTTACAATTAATTTATCAATGCTACGATGAGCTAGATGAAGAGACAATAATTATTGAGGGGGAATTTTTATACCGTCCAATAATGGAATCTTCTATAAAAAGAGGTGTTAGGTTACTGGTAGTTAACTAAATAAACACATGAATGGCCAATGTCAATGCTCAAACTGTTCCTAACCCTAACACAAACCCTGGTCCTACCATACGCCATACGCCTAACCTTAATTTCTGACCATAAAATTAGTTGAGATTACAATGCTACTAACAACCCAACACACATATTTTATGCAAGAGTCTATTATCGAAAATCGGTTTCTAAACCAACCGTATGGTTGTCAGCAGTCCTAGAACAATAGCATGGAGGTCAACCGTTCTAGATTAATAACATGGAGGTCAACAGTTCTAGAACCATACCATGGAGGTCAACAGTTCTAGAACCATAACATGGAGGTCAACAGTTCTAGAACCATAACATGGAGGTCAACAGTTCTAGAACAATAGCATGGAGGTCAACAGTTCTAGAACAATAGAAATGATGAAAACAATACTAGAAACATGATACTCCCATCCAATCACACTCGGTGGTTTTAAGTTACCTGAAAATGCCTAAAAAAACCTGGGTTTGTATAGTAATAATAATTTTTACTGACCAAAGCAAAATAAGTAGTTTCAAATGCAGTTATTGAATAATTTCCCATATTTGCAAGTAAACATGGTCAAGGGAAACAATTGTAAATAAATCAAATCACTGACAACTTATCCTTGGATAAATAGCTTTAGGATAATCTCTCCTATCAGCTCTAAATTTATGCAAACGTTGAAATGAATTATGATTCTAAAATCGTTGGACAAATACTAGAAAAACGTTGGTTGCATTGTATAGATGATTGACTTTTAATATAATCATTGACAATTTTCTAAATATGCCATGTCTTAATGTTATTATTTATAAAAGTGTGAAAGCATTGATGTGCATTTTACACGGTGTTCGTATCGATAGACACATGGAACGAATGGCAGAGCGTTTGACTGACAATAAGTAAGTCTCGAGTTCGTATAGATAGACACATGGAACGAATGGCAGAGCGTTTGACTGACAATAAGTAAGTCTCGAGTTCGGATCCTGGCCTCAAGTAGGTAGGATGTCCCAGAGTCTACTCAGCTCTGATGGGCTGACGTTGGGGAAGGTAACTGCTGCTAGGCATCGTTATGACTACACCATCCCTTCAGGTAAACTCTACTTTATCTGGACCATGGACAGTATGAAACAGTGCTTTACATGTACCAGTGTAAAACTGCTGCGGTGTAATATTACGATACCATGAGACAAGAACAGTGCATCAATATACCCATGTGTCAACACAGTGTATCAATATACCCACTATTGTGTCATTACAAAATATCAATATACCCACTAATGTTTCACGACAATGTTTTAATATACCCACCAAAATATCACCGACCACTCTATCAAAATACCCACTAAAGTGTCACCACATTGTATCAAATAGATCTATTATCAAACCGATTGAAATGCCGATTCTGGATAAATATCCGTTTTCAATTTTTCGTTTCCTGTAAAATTTGAAAATGAGCTGGTAATTTGGTTTTGGTTTCGATTCAGAAACAAAGACAACACTATCAACCTAGCGCCCGTTGTATCTCTTCCTCAAAAGGGCCATTTATCGCGTTCATATATTTAATTCTGTTTACTTGGTGCACAATTATTTTTTTTATACAAGATTCTATTCTATTTTAAAGATTTAAGTAATTAAAAATGCATTAAAAATCATGTCTATATCCCGAGTTGCTATTCCCTGTAATGTTATATAAGAATATTCGAGAAAATTTAGGGGATATTACTTGTTATGACTGAGTATATTGTTGATGCTAGTTGGTTATCTATCCCACCCCCTCCCGTCCCACACCTGAACTGGGACAGCGTGTTAACGCCCCACCCCCATCATCCCACCCTACCTAGCGATGTGCAGGCTGAGGAAAGTACAGATCGCCGTCTTTGACCTGAGCCCGACCCAACTAACCTGCTATGCAAATTTGGTGAAACACGTAATGTGATACCCTATTGTATTCGAGGCATAGACCCCAAACTGGATGTTGAGGACCATAAAGATAGGACAGTTGAACGTTAGCTTTACTAGGATCTAGTCGTGTTGTGTTTTGTAATGTGTGGTAGGGCTGGCCCCTAGGGCTGGCCACTATTGATGTTCAAGATTATTTCCTGTTTTATTGAAGACCAAAGTAGTAACCATTAAAGTTGCCTTGCTGAAATTGTGTTTGCGTTTTACTTGAACCTCTCACTGCAGTCATCACCACCATCAGTACCAACCTTATGGATGACTCGTGACTCGTTTCGTAACATTACTCCAGGTTTATTAATTTATTTTTTTGATAGTGCAATAAAAATCATGACTTCATAACGGAAACCTTAGTTAAATCTTTAAAAATTAATCAATTAATCAAATTCAAACAATTTTAATTCACATTGCATTGTCACAAAGTTTTGACCCATGCGTTACTGTTGAATGCATTCGTTCTGGTAGAAGCAGTCAAAATATCGCTCATCAACCCAAAGTAATAAACAGATTAAAGGAGTTAATTATAGCGTAAAAGGAAAATAATTACAAAAATATTTATCAAACACAAATCGATGTCGTTAAAATGTAAAAAATAAACTCATGTTTTTATCCTAATATTAATATAATAATCTCCAAAATCATTCAAGAATTCAAATTGAAGATTTAGATTCCAAAATGCTCCCAATTAAATAATTCGATACACGTCATCAAAAATTGTGTAGCGCTTCACTTTCAACATCCTGTACACAATATGGCGCGGGTGTAGGATATAAATATTACTTCATCTTTAGATATTTAATATAAACATCTAAATATCAATTATATAAAATACAAGAGAACTGTTACAGCCCTACAGGGCGACATGTCGTTGTTCAGCATTAAAAGACTGAAACAAGCAGCAACGGAATTCGTTGGCGGTGGGACTGAAAAGGTAAAGACACGTCTTTTAGTGTCCTATAGTGTCCTTTAGTGTCCTGTACTCATGTCCTATAGTGTCTTATAGTGCCCTGTACTCACGTCATATAGTGTCCTATAGTGTCCTGTAGTGTCCTATAGTGTTCTATAGTGTCCTATACTAACGTCCTATAGTATCCTATAGTTCCATATAGTCACGTCCTTTTGTGTCCTATGGTGTCCTTTACTCACGTCATATAGTGTCCTATTGTGTCCTATTATGTCTTCTATTGTCCTATACCCACGTTCTACAATCTCCTATAGTGTCCTATAGTGTCCTTTACTCACGTCCTATGTGTCCCATACTCACTTCCTATAGTGTCCTATATTCTCCTATAGCGTCCTATAATCACGTCCTATACTCACGTCTTATAGTGTCCTATTGTGTCATATTATGTCTTCTATTGTCCAATACCAACGTCCTAGAGTATACTATAGTGCCCTGTAGTGCCCTATAGTGCCCTATAGTGTCCTATAGTGTACTTTATTCACGTCCTTTAGTATCCTTTTTTTGTCTCATACTCTCTTCCTATAGTGTCCTATTCTCACGTCTTATGGTGTCCTGTTGTGTCCTATTATGTCCTCTATTGTCCTATACTTACAGTCTGTAGTGCACTATAGTGTCCTTTTGTGTCCTATAGTGTCCTATAGCATTCTATATTCAAGATCCATAGTGTCCTTTAGTCACGTCCAACAGTGTCCTATAGTGTCCTATATTCACGTACTAAACTGTCCTATGCTAAAGTTCTATAGTGTCCTATAGTGTCTTATACTAAAGTCCTATAGTGTAATATACTATAGTAGTTTAGTTCCCTATGCTCACGCCCTATGGTGTCCTATAATATCGTGTACTCACGTACTATAGTGTCCTATAGTGCCCTAAAGTGTCCTATTCTTACGTCCTATAGAGTCGTAAACTCATAGTTCAATCATAGTAAGTTGGCCATAGCCTTAAGTTCCACCTTATAAACATGTACTCAGGTGACCTTACCAAGTTTGACGACAGCACTTCGATGATTATATTTTTACAAGGATAAAAGTATATTTGTAAAATGTGTCTTTAAAATAGCAGTATAAAATGCTAAACTCAAGCATTAAAATAATTTAGACATGTAATGTTTTATGAATAAACAATATAAAAATGATTATGTAGATAACTTAAAAATACGATTTAGCGTAAAAGACTACATTTCAATTTGTTTTCATTGAACCTAAACTATTACCCGAAGATTCACTTTTGTACGACAATTACTTGATGGATGTGAAAGTTCAAATATCTCGGAAAAACCCCTTTTTATTAATTTTTTTACTCAAATCTGTGCAGATATATATTTTTTAATAAATTCAACTATTTGAAGCAATATGGTATAGTAATAATATATATATATATATTTTTTTTTCCAGTTAATCGTATTTGATAATCAGCCTGACTGGAGCCAGCTGCCGTACGAGATTCTGCTGCACGTCTTCCGTTACCTTAGCAACAGCGACAAGTACCACGCCGCCCTCACCTGCAAGTCCTGGCTCCGTCCACTCTCAGTGCCGTCCGTGTGGGAGACTGGAGATTTTATTTTCGCCTCCGAGAGTGATGAGAAAGCGATCATGTTTGTAAAAATGACTGGCAAAACGTTACGTCACATGAAAGTAGAATGTAGAGCGAGCGGTTATCATTTGTCGGGTAAGTCACACAAATAGTGGTGGGAATGTGCGTCTATGTACGAACCCGTCGACAACAAATGTACATGTGTATTTTTTTTTTAAAGCAAGCAGAAGCCGCGCATCCTGTACTGACAAGCTGTACCAATTTTTGGCCAACTTATTGAACTCACGCAACCATCAAATTTGGACCTTCAAGCTAACCAATATCTG